TGTTTCAGATGTAAAACTTTTACAATAAGAATACATAGACATTGAAATTCTGAGAGTGGAAAGATATGGGACACACTCCAGTTGTGAAGTCACACATCTAAGGGGGAATAATATATGTATCCGCGGTTCCAAAAGGTCCTCTTGCAAGGACTGTTTTATTTCTGTAACTACTCAGTAAAAATGTAGGCTTTGAGAGTCATCATTTGAGTTCTACATAAAGGGCCATTTGAAATCGGTTTTACCAAAATACTAGACTTGCATGGTTATTGGTGGTGGAATAGCTGCTATAGTGTTATAAAAAAATTAGGGTAATTGTGTCATTATAAAATTAAATTAATTTTGTATTTTTGATAAATAAACTATCGCCCTTTATAAAAAATTATTTTTGGTCATATTCCTTTTATTAATTTGACCTGCTGTTCTTTAGCCAAATTTTCTCTTGTCTTTATCCTATATTTAAAGGTTAATTAATGGAAGAATTTGTACAATCTATCTCTAGAAATTGGATTCTCCTTCTTCACATGAAGTAATTATACTCTTTTAGTTATTTTGAGAGTAAAAAAGCCTTTTGAGTATTATGTAACATACTTGTGTGCCATCCTTGTGACACTAAAGTGATGTCAAATGTCTCTCGACTTAATATATCTCAAATAAACTCCAGTAACCCATGTAATTAATTAATTTACTAAAATATAATAATAAAAAAACATATCAGAATTTTTCAGATTATTTGAAGTTTTATTTTTATTACCATTTGAAGTTTTATTTTTATTATTATCACTTGTACTAAAATCGGGTAATCATTCCAAAATGGAATAAGTATTCTTTTACTTGTTTTCTCTAAAAGAAATTCCTGGACACAACGGACTCTCGCCTAAATTAGATATTGCTTTTGTCTTGAAATAATTGTCTAGTTTAAATTTTTTGGTTGTAATTCAAATTTTACTAAAAAATCAAATTCGATGATAATTTTGGGATAGAGAAAATATCTGTTCCCGTCCGAGCAGTAAATCGGGCACATCTACAATCAATCAGTATCCTATATATCTAATGTTTTCTCTTCTACATCTCTTAATCGATTCTTTATGGGTCTACAATTAATCTTTGCCCGTAGTCATTTTTTTTTTCCAATCATCTTTTAGGTTTTTCAAGGATTGATGTAGCTATATATCACGAGAAGAAAACCTTGGCCAATTTACTACTAACAGGAGGATTGTCAAATTTTGTCAACATATCACGGGCAAAAAATGCGTTGATCTTCTATCTTTGCAGTAATGTCAATTATTGTTTGTTTAAACTCTCAAACTTCATCATTTCAAAACACTTAATTAAGACTACTAAGAACATAAGTTGAACCTAGAAGCCAAAAGGCTGAAAAGCATAAATCAAGATTCAGGATTAATCCCTTTACAATCATAAATCCCATAAAATCATCAGAAATAAGAGCCTAACTTTTTTCTTCTGGCAATAATCTAGTGAAATCCTGCAGCAAACCTTCAATTTGTCAAGGAAAGCTCGGGTACAAATTTTCTTCATCTTTCAAGGGTGATTTCATACCCCTCCTGCAAGAAATTTTTAAAACCTTCAATTAAGTTAGGATGTCCTTGGAATAGATGTTTAACCCGAGTAATCACGCCTGTAATATCAATTCTACGTACAATGAATCAATGAGTTAGTACATTAAATTAAAATGAATCGAGCAAATATACAAACGGATCGAATAAAGATAAAAAACAGTGGAAAGGTCATTAGTAAATTTAATTATTAACATAATAACTTATGCATGTATGAATCACTCATTCACTTTTTGTGGTAAAAAAACACATGCAGATGAATTCACACATCAATCAATATGCCAATATGATTGTCCATCTTTTAATTTATTTTTTTTGTTGAAATAAGCTTTATGTTTCGGAAAGTTGAGGAGGTATACCTTTGAGCTCTAAAATCTTTGAGAATGTCAATGAACGTATCGTACATCTCTCTTTGATCTTGAAACGTACTCTTAATTTCATTCACATATGTTAGGGCATCATTTTGATTCGGTGCACCACTGCCGCCACGCTCTCCTCCGGCGATTCCGCCAGGAACTTGTTGTGGATTCCCATTCCTTCAATCGGGAACACAAGACAAACAAATTGGGTCAAAAAATACGTTCAAGCAAATTAACTAAATTGTACTACCACTTAATTGGAATGAGTTTTGCAAGTTTGTTAAAATAAATAAATAAATAAAAATTCAGACCCAACAATACTATCTGTACCGGCAAAAAATCTTCTGTAAGTAGTACTATCGAAGAGTAACAAGTAAATATTTTTTTGATAAAAGAAAAACCAAATAAATATGATGCCTCAAAACACAATCTAATGCATGAGTGAATGATGTTCGATCTTGCCAACAATCATCTAACGAATTAAGCCTAAAATTTCTTAAAAAAACCCTAATTCAAGATTAAAAAGCGGACCATATCCACGACCTCTTGATCGAAAAAGTTTCAAACAAGCAAAAACAGACGACATTAAATATTGCTAGTTAATCAACAAGCCAATAAACCAAATAATTACACAGTCAAGATCAAACTTAACGACCCTAGTAAATCATGCATGACAAAGTTCAAAGCGAAAAGAGCTCACGATTCAGCTAATGGCCACGAAGGGTTCGCAATTTCATCCATTATGCGATCCATATCTCTGCGAGAGAAACAAATTAACACTGACTTATGAAAATCAGATAAAAGAACACCAAATATAATCATCGTTTTGAAGAACCTGCCTACGGGTTAATTAAGAAAATGAGAGCGAGAGACGAGGAGGGTGGAGGGCAAAATATATATATTACTATAGGGTTGTTCATTATTGAGATTATACTATATGGCAATTTTTTTGGAGCGCAAATAGTAACAAAAAATGTTATATTCGTGTGATAGAGAGGATTCAATCCGCAATGGAAATATGTACTTAAACACGAAATTAGTTAAACACACACATGTACAAGAGGGAAAAAACATATAGTGCACGCAAAAGTAAACCAATAAATTAATATGATGTTCTACTCAATTTGGTCATTCCCTTAATTACCTAGCTAACACCAAAAAGTTAATAAGAAAACTAACAAAATTGGGAATAAATAAAGTATGGCAGCCACTAACACTAGATCTGAGAAGTTTAAACAAGCGAATTCCTAATGGCATTCAATTCTAGTCAATTATGTTGTCCAGGATCAAAACTAGCACTGAGGATGAAATCCAACAAACATCACTGAACCCGAAACGAAAACACGAAAACGCACCACCACAAAATTCAGAGCAAAAAATAGAACTAAAGAAAACGAGCTCACAATTCACCCATTGGCAATGATCCGTATTGATACGCAAAGAGAGACACCGACCTGAAATTAAGTTCATTCCAAAAGAGATACTCTCTCTATCTCAAAATTATTATTCAGTTTGAGATTTCACTTTTAGTACAATTTGAATTAAAAATGAAAATTCAAACTGGACAATAATTATGGGACGGAGGGAGTACAAATTAAACTCAGAACGTTGGAATACCAAGAGGTTAGTGAAAAATAAAATAAAAAAATTGTGTCTTCAGACCCTTCTCAAGTTGTTCCCCTAGGAAGTAAAAACCTGCAGGAAACCTTGAAAATTTGAAATGCTCCAAACTGATCAAAATCTTTCCTAGCTTCCCGAAACATATTTTAAGACCTCAATCTTCCTAAGGAATTGCAACTAGCTAGCCCCCTATTAAGCCTACCATAAGTCTATAATAACTTTGTCCCCAAGTCATTTTAATCTTGTTTAATTTACTGTCTTCAATTTATTTATTTATTTTATAAAAGAAATTCCTTCTTTGATATACGGTCCTCTTTTATATCTGATGAGCAATAGCCCCAGATAAATTTTGTGTAAATAAATAATTTTTCATTAATTAAGGATCTAATATTAATAATAGTTCTTATTGTAATATATTTTTCTGATAACATTTCTCACTTCGCAAAGTCCTTTTTATATAGGTTTGTACACGATATAATAATAAATTTATTACATAGGAAATCATAAAAAATAACCAAAGAAAAATCCCTATTAGAAGGAAAGTTTGGTTTTCCTGGTATGCTAACAATAAAAATACACGTAGTTACATTCAACACACTATTTATATGGTTTTGATGATTAAATATAATTGTGCGAGTGATATTATTTTCTTAAATAACAAGAACCTAATTTTTTCCAAAAAAAGTTATGTATTGTGGAGATATATATTGAATGAGAATACGTATTTCATCCAAATAACTATTGTGTACTAATTTTGAATTAATTGTGTTTTGAAATTTAATACTATCTGCATACAACCACATATGCTATTTGATAAATTTTGTATAGTAATGAAAAATATTTTACTTTTTAAATAAGAACAAAATCTCTTAGTTGCTTACTGTTGTTATAAAACTGAAACTCATTCCGTGCCAATAAAGTTTCACTGTGACTACATTGTTTCTGCATATATACATATATATATAATATATATATAGTGTGGATCTTGTCCTGTATTGTCGACTATCAATCTAATCCAGTACACCGGGCTTAAAATAACCCAATTTTCAACTTGCTCACTGTATAAGAACTAGGAATTCAAAAATTGAATCAAAACATCCCATCTAATCATACATGCAGTGAGAAAGTTAAATTAACCTGACCATAACATTTATCATCATGTCACAAAAAAATTATTAATTCATAAAAATTTGATAAATTGCTTTTGAAAAGAAATCATTTCGAGCAAATTCAGCTGAGAAGGGAAAAGAAATGCAATAACCTTGTCCATAATATTAATGTAAAAAGTAACATAATGTAAACTTCGAATATTCATCTTACAAAGTTCAACATCTAAAAGACAAGTTCATAACAAATAGGTACATAAGAACATAGTATCAATTTCTTATACAACAACAAACAACATCAATCCCATTGAATCATTTAGTAATACATAAAATATAGAGCATTAATCGTCTCCAATATATGTGCTGAACTCGACCAACAAATCTGGGTGATCCTTAAAAAGTGATTCAACCTGTGTGATGTAAATGTAAACTATTTATCAGTTTTTAAAGCATGAACATAATGCCAAACCTGAAATATAAAAGATATTAAAAACAATAAATAAATTTAGTTGAAATGGATAAAACCTCACAGTAGACCTCATCAAAGCTCTTTTTTCCATCCTTGTACGCATGCAGATGGTCCAAAAAAGAAGTGTAGATAGGGTGGTCGCTTTTAAAACGCTCCTGCAAAGTGAAAAAGTCCCAAACATTCTACTTTTAGAATCAACTATAACATAAACTTGAAACTCACTCCGAGTTAAACAAAAGTAACTACGATTTTTAGAATGAAAGAAGAAGTACTATATGCACTAATGTGGAAGTAAATGTAACCTTTATCTTTTCGACGAAACTTGAAGCCTCCTCAAATTCCCTTGTGAGCTCATCAGGGGTAACCTCTTCTTCATTATCCAGCGTGATTTCAAACTCCCGGGGCAAGAATTTATTGAAACCTAGAAGTAAGTTCGGATGCCCTTCAAACAGTTTCTTCAATCCGGCAATGACTCCCGGATTATCAACCCTGCAATAAATCCATGAGTTAGGAAAACTTAAATAAGATTGAATCATAAGAATATATATACAAAATAATAAAGCTTGTATCCAAGAAAGTTGGGGTATATACCTTTTATCTTTGTACTCCCTCATAAGGGCAATGAATGCATCATATTTCTCCTTTTGATCTAGGAAAGTGTCTCTAACTTCTCTCATATAGTTAATGGCATCTGTTGTGTCATATACCACTGGGGGATTCTGCCTGATGCTTCAAATGAGAATAAGGGGGCCAAATTATTAGACAATTTGGTCTAAAACTCATTTGCAAACCAACAAAGTTTTACTATACCCAAGTGGAAAAGCTATTCCCTTATTGGTTTTCTAAGTTCACAAAAAAACATCATTCCTAATGCCCTCGCAAAAGATCTTCTGTACAACTCAAGATTTTATTCATAGTTTACGCAAAATAAAGAACCCAAGTTTGCATATTCGAAAAGAGGAAACTATGTATATGGAAGTAGCAAAATAATCATTCTTGCAAAAGGAAATTAATGGTGTCACTAGAGATTAGATCCGCAGTATAATCATCACAGGAATTCCACAAAAAATAAACCAAAATATGCATAATAAAAAAGGGTAGAAAAGTTTGAAAACCTCAAAATAATCATCACTACAAAAGTAATTAACCCATAAATGGTGCCATTCAAGATTCGATTCACAATACTTCCACCATAAGGAACACTGCAAAACTATCATTCTTTAAAGATAAAGTTGGATATGATAATTGAAAAGGGAAAATAAGTAAGAAAACCTTGGGATGATAATTCGTGTTGAAAGCAAATAATGAGTAAAATAAAAACTTTAGTCAAATAATCATTTCCCGCAATTAGCAAGATTATAAAAAACCACAAATATTTAACCTAATTTGATTGGCAACAAAAAGTAGGACATCAAATCAGAAAAGTTTAAACAAACCACACACCAAACTAATGAGACTAAATTTAAGTAAATCAACTAGTCGCGAAAGCATACGTGATTACGCTAAATTTCATAGAGCATGCACACCAAAAAGAAAAATATAGGAAAACAAATTCACACATTGATCTCATTATCGTCTGAATCAAAATGAAAAACAAGATACATATAAAAAAATTGACCCTAAAGAAAATCACTTAAGATTGAAATCCGATAAAAAAAGAAAAGAAAAAGAGTTGAGGACTCACGATTCATCTGAATGTTGTCTTGATGAATTCAGGTTATCAGCAACATTCAGGGGAAGATCCATATTGATCTGGAAGAGGAAAACAAATAGATAATATAATTAGCTTTATCTTAATGATTATAAAAGTCAATTAAAAAAGAGAGAGAGGAGATCTTGAGATGGTGTTTTTTGAAGCAACCGACATACACAAAAAACTGGAGCACGGTGATGAGAACGAGATGTAGAAACCAACAAAAGATTGTGAGTGAAAAGTATGTGTGTAACCACGAGTTAAATACAACAAGCTATTTATATAGGTGATGAGGAGGAACAGAGATTTACTACGTTGTTGTTCTTTTCGGTCAAAAAAAATAATTAACAAATCAATTCTAGATTGTGTGAATCTGTGTATACTTTTATTTTGATTTTTTTTCTTTTTCTAAAATAATGATGATATCTTCTCAAACCCAAAACGGCATCAGGTTAAGTTATAATTGTAAAATCCAAAAGACATTCTAAGTCATGTCTATCATATGGTTTTCTCGGTGTTGCAAAATATGTAAATGATAGAATTACATGCATTTACGCAGAACGCATTATTTATATAGTTTTGATAATTAAATATAACTAAGTAAGGGCCATTATTTTTCCAAATAAGAATAACCTAATTGTTTAGAAAGAAAAGTTATGTATTGTAGGGATATACATTTAATGGGAATATTGATTTCATTAAAATAACTGTCGTTCGTTAATTTTGAAATAATTATTTTTTGTAAGTAAGTTGTATAAGTCTATAGCCACATGTGGTATTTGATTAACAAAGGTACCCTATTAAGGACAAATATTTTACCTTTTTAATAAGAAAAATATTTATTAATTGCTTACTGTTGACGTAAAACTGCATTGTTTCTATTGTAATAAACGATCTTATGACTACTTTAAGGGCTATTAATTACTGTGGCCATTGCACACTATGCTTATCCAAAAAACAATTTTCCAGCTTGATCTCACTGTGTAAGAACTAAGATTCCAAAACAGAATCAAAACATCCATCCACACTTTGGCAAACACATTTTCTGCAAGAAAATTAACTTAATCTTATTTGACATTTGCCATCCTGTGACAAAAATAATTAGGGATAAGGACCAATTCCCCTCCCCATGCCAAGATTATGTGTAAGCACAAAAATCTCCTTTGACCACTTCAAACTTGACTAGACTGGTGAAAAGATAGAAAACCCATAGTGGTTCCGGCAAGTTTTCGTCACATAATAATTCAAGATAAAATTATTGATATATTCTTAATTATTAATGAAATTTTCAATTTTAACCCAATTGTTATTTTCTTCTCCTATCTCAAAGCAATCATCCCACCACCATTGCCAACATCAAGAACAACAAGCACCCTAATTTTCATCGCAGATGCTACAATGTTGCCTAATACTCTTAACCCAAATATTGAAAGAATGGAACAACAAGAACAACAAAAGAAATATTCTTTTTTAATAAATTTTGAAATAAATCATTTGTCACTTTTGATTGCTAAATTACTCAAAACTCAGAACCAGTTTCAAATTAATCATTCCCAAACATTAAATTTGGTGAAATCGAGACTTGACTCACTCAACCAAAATTTCACCAGATGCTTTTCATGAAAACCCATACCAATCTCTCCACAAGAAGATGAATTTGCTTAGAGTGCAACAAAGCAACCATAAGACATACTTGATGGTAGAAAAACCCATGGATTCTCTAGCACTAGTTGAAAAGCAAACCAGAAGAAAAAGGGTGATGGAAATTGCTTACTAGAAGTAGGATAAGAGGAAGGAAAAGAAGGATGAGGAGAAAAGGAAGGTAGTGTATCAGTCATAACCTTTTGATTTGGATCCAGAAGTCCAAATGGTAATACAAGAAATAAAATGATTTAAAACTCATCAAATCTCCTTTAACAAATCTAGACCAAAACTAATAAAAATCATCACTATAGATATGCAAAGATCCACCAAACAATTTATATGCACTAAACACTTTTTGATTGATTCCAATTCATGTGGCTCTAGGGGAGATGGGGTATATGGCGGTTGTGACGGCGGTGGTGTTTGTTTTGGCTTAAAAATGGAGGAATAAGAAAATGAAAGAAAAAGAGAAGAAGAAGAAGTAGCACATTTTCTTTTTTTCTTTTTACATAATTTGATTTTTGACTAATTCTGTTTAAAGGGTAGTTTTTGTTCATAAAAACTTATGGTTAGAGAACTAGGGCATTTCAGTCTTTACACATTAATTTTTTTCTTACATCATTGAATTTCACAACATTCCCGTAGTCCAAGGGTTTAATTGCCCACGACCTATGGTCAAGGGGGTTTTGTCCTTACACAAAACCTTAAGGGATTATAGTCTTTGGGACATTACTAGGGGAAGGGGAGTTGTCCTTAATCCTTATCCATATAATTATTATATCATACAAATTTGATAAATTGCAGTTATGAAAAGAAACCATTTTGAGTAAATTCAACTGAGAAGGGAGAAGAAATACAATAACGTTGTCCATAATAGTAATGTAAAAAAATAACATAATGCCAATTTCAAATATTCATCTTACAAAGTTCAACATCTAAAAAATAAGTTCATAAAAAATAGGGAGATACGAATACAATAACAGTTTCTTATACAACTACAAACAACATCAATCCCATCGAATTATTTAGTAGTATAGAAAATATATAACTAATTAATCTTCTCAAATATATTTGGTGAACTCGACCAACAAACTGGATGGTCCTTAAAAAGTGACACAACATGTGCAATGTAAATGTAAACTAGTTATCAGTTTTAGAAGCATGAACATATTGCCAAACATGAAACATAAAAGATATTAAAAACAATAAATAAATTTAGTTGAAATGGATACAAACCTCATGGAATACCTTATCAATGCTCTTGTTTTTATCCTTGTACGCATCCAAATGGAAAGAAGTGTGGACACGGTGGTTGCTTCCAAAATGCTCCTGCAAAGTGAAAATCTCAAACATTCTATTTTTAGAATCAACTATAACACAAACTTGAAACTGACTCCGAGTTAAACAAAAGAAACTACGATCTTTAGAATGAAAGAAGAAGTAATATCTACACCAATGTGAAAGTAATAAAACCTTTATCTTTTCGACGAAACTTAAAACCTCCTCAAATCTCCTTGTGAGCTCATCAGTGGTAACCTCTTCTTCATTATCCAGCGCGATTTCAAACCCCTGGGGCAAGAATTTATTGAAACCAAGAAGTAAGTTCGGATGCCCTACAAACAGTTTTTTCAATCTAGCAATGACTCCCGGATTATCAACCCTGTGAAATATATCCATGAGTTATTCAAATTTAAATAAGATTGAAACATAAGAACATATATTCAAAATGATAAAGCTTGTGTCCAAGAAAGTCAGGTTATATATCTTTTATCTTTGTACTCCCTCATAAGGGCAATGAACGCATCATATTTCTCTTTTTGATCTATGTAAGTGTCCCTAACTTCCCTCATATAGTTTATGGCATCTGTTGTGTCATATACAATCGGGGGATTCTGGCTGGTGTTTGAAATGAGAATGAGAGGACCAAATTAATAGACAATTTCATCCAAAACTCATTAGCGAACCAGGAAAATTGTACTACACCCAAGTGGAAAAGAAATATTCGATTCTTGGTTTTCTAAATACCCAAAAAAAAACACCGATCCTAATACCCTCACAAAAGATCTTTCATACCACTTGGAAAGTGTACCTGTCACCTCAAGATAACTGGAATGAAGGACGCAAAGAACACGTTGTATTAATTTCTAACAGGTCTGGATGATTGTTACATAGCAGTTCGAAATCAAATTCCCATGATAGAGCCTCTGCCTGATGTGAAGCGAGCTTAATCTATGGTCATGACAGTGGAGAAACAGACTCAAGTGAGTGTGATTTACAGCTCAGTTACTGATCAGAGTGCAATGAAAGTTTAACAAATGACACAAGTATGTCTGATGCAGCTATGCTAACTCAGAACGAGAAGTTTAACAAGAATCAGAGGGAGAATGATCTTAGAAGAGATAAAGCAGCCAAGAAGCTGTTGTACTGTGATAACTGCAAGATGACTGGTCATAATAGAGAAGGATGTTTTCGCATCATTGACTATCCGGAATGGTGGAATGACAATCACAAAGAGGGATGGAAGACACAGTATCAGAAGTCTGGGAATCACTCAGCAAACTTGGCAAATTCAAAGATGGAACAGCAGTAAAAAAGTCAAGCTGGTGATGGAACTAATATTCAGCAAGTGATGAATACTTTGATGAGGCTTCAACGGGACATGGGGAAGTATATGAAAGGCAAGCAACCAGTGGATGCATATGATCGGGTGAATTTTGCTCATTACCACAATTTTGCAGGTATGAGCACCTTTAAGGCTTTGAATTCTATGAGTACTGCTGAAAGAATGATGTTACTTACTTTATGGTTTTTAGACACAGGGGCTACTGGTCATATGTGCTATTTGCTGCATCTTTTCAATTCTTTTAAACCTGTTTCACAATACATTCCAGTTTGTTTACCCGATGGAAGTATGAAAAGTGTAGATCACATGGGCACTGTCATGCTTGCAGATAACTTACAACTTAATGATTGTTTACACATACCTTCATTCAAATATAACCTGGTTTGAGTGAGCAAATTAGCCAACTCTTCCAAATTGATTGCTTGTTCTCAACAAACTTTTGTTTATTACAGAACCAAGCGACTAAACAGATTCTTGCAGTTGGCAGTGTTGTCAGCAAGCTATATGTTCTGAGTCACACCTCTTTTTCACCTGACAGAATTAAGACTTTTATGCAAGGCCATATAGATCATCCATTTATTTTACATCTTAATTCTAGAAATTGTTTTCTGTCCAATTCAGTTTGTAAAAATTCAGATAATGCTTTGTGGCATCATAGATTAGGTCATGTGCCTGTATTGTCATCAATCGTTTAGGCTTATACAATAATGATGATGATGATTTTTGTTCAAAGCAATGTACTGTTTGTCCCTTAGCCAAACATCAGCGAATAAAATTTTCGATCAG